CCGCTACTACTCTACTGTCGGCCCATTCCACTGTAACTGACGGCGGGACATTGGTTGGACTTGTGTCACGACACTACTTTAGTTAGTTTTAGTAAAGGTTTTACGGCGTTTGCAACTGCATAAGGTCATATGAGTGCCAGAAGATTAGAGGTGCTACAAGAGAGTAACACACCGACAAAAGAAAAAGGGAAGATAAGGGCGATAGATGTTTGATAGGAAAGAAGAAGCAAACCACACCAGAGCGCCCGCCAACCACTCACTACAATGCGCGGTGAAATCAGGCGCTCGTCAATTTTTGGGGCTTGTGGGGTTGGTTATTGATTGGGGTCATCTTACTAAAGCTTGTACATTTGTGTCACTGCGACGCGGTGAAATCAGGCGCTCGTCAATTTTTGGACTTGTGGGGTTATTGGTGTCATCTTACTAAAGCTTCTTGTTCATATGTCTAGCCTTCGATAACAATAAAAAAAAAAAAATACCCATCTACCTTGAATAAAAGTTGAGATTTTTGCCATTGGAGAAGATGCGAGTCGCCTAGTTTCAGGGTAAAATTAACGACAACATGGCCGCAAAAGTTTGGTTACCTACAAAACTTACAAGTCCTTGGAAACTGAAAGTTTACATTTTTGGGCCTTTAATTTTAATTTGCGTTTCTCAGTAAATTCCACAAAGAAATGTGTTTTGAAATGGACATAAAATGTGGGGAGCCAAAAGAAAAAAAAATCGATCAAAATTGCCAAAATGGCGGTAAAATGCTGATTTCTTCGATTTTATTATTTTGACGAGGGCCTGATTTCACTATGATGCATCACCTATACTTTCTTACAATGATAACACAGTAATTCATTATTAATTTATTTATTTTAACTTTATTAAATGATCAAAACATTTGAAAGACATATTATTACCTGTATTAAGAATCGTATTAAATCAGTCATTTGAAAAAAAAAAAAGTACTTTAACCCTATCCGTACGCCCTGAGGTCATTTTTTACCCCCGGGGTTGTATTCTTCACATTTTAGAATACTTCTAGCTCGAAGATCTCTTTGAAACTTTCAGTGTTTCTAAAATAAAATCATTTTTTAACAGACTGCTTTGCAAAGTGAACGGATCGGATTAATGAGTAAATTTCCTCTTTGGAAAGGGGGGGGGGGAGGGGCACAGAGTTCCCCACGTCGTATGGATACGATAGTAAAACACGACGTACGGATAGGGTTAAGCAAATTCTGTGACGTGTTTAGTTTCGGTAACTGACGGGTCACTGTGGCATTCATGGAAATAAAAAAGCAGACGACTTAGCCAAAGAAGGAGCCAAAAAGACCCAAATTGAACATGGCATGGATCTCTTAGAGTCAAAAACACGAATAAAATCTGCCTTAAGAAAGAGATGGAAAAGGTCCCACCCTAAACACAACAGACATGACCCCTACTACATACGAAATAGAGCGGACCAGGTCACAATCTTTAGACTCCGTTGTGGCCACAACAGACTCAAACACCACATGCACACCAAATTAAAAGTGGGAGAGTCAGCGATCTGTGAATGTGGACACGACCAAGAGGATGTCAACCATATTATCCTTCAGCACTGGCCGCGCTACGCCACCCTTCGTACACAGACGTGGCAGAATGTGACTCCCCTTGAGAGAAAGCGCTATGGCAGTCTCTCAGAGTTGAAGAAGCGAACTGCACAGTTTGTGCACGACATTGGACTGACTGTCTAGCTGCTGTCATCGAGAACGAGGAGGAAGAAGAAGAAGAAGAAGAAGAAGAAGAAGAAGAAGAAGAAGAAGAAGAAGA